TAATTCAATGAAATTTGGCACATGATCTTCTTTTGTCCCAGGGACGAGGCCTATTGAATGGTTAAGATCGGTCCATTATTTCACCTAGCCCCCATACAACTGAACCCCTGAATACGGCTTCTAAACCTTGTAATCAAATCGCAATTTTGTTAGTAATTCAATGAAATTGGGCACATGATATTCTATGGTACCGCAGACGAAACCTATTGAAAATGGTAAACATCAGTCCATTATTTATTACCTAGCCCCCACACAACTGAAACCGACGAATACGGAATACGGTTGATAATTATGTTTAATATACTCGTATCTCCACAGAAAGCTGCAAAACCAAGTTCTATACTAGCCTTGATGACTGTCATGAATTTTTTAATTATAGGGTCTCATTTGACCATAGCCCCTATACAAAGCCACCTTCAAAATTTGACTTAAATGTGCACAATTTTATTCAACAATAAATGGCTTAAGTATATCTGAGGCAAGGTACAATTAAACTTAAATGCTTTATTATGAAAACTAAATCACATTTTATTTTTATAACAGGTGTAGGGTATTATATGGTCGGCCTCGACCGACTATAATTTCTTACTTGTTGAAATTGATTTTATTTGTTCACGTGTTTTATGAATACCCTTAATAATATCAATATTCTGAAAAATTGAATTTGAAAAAATTTTCATTTAAAAAGTCGAATCAAAGAAGTTTAAAAGTAACGCAATACATTATATGTGGCATATTCAGTGCGAAACTTTCAAAAAATTTGTAATTACTTCAGGAGAAAAATTTGCGTTCGACTTCTCATAAGTATTATAGTGAGTGAGAGAAACATTAAAACTAATATGTGAATTGCGAACTTCTAACCAATATTTTGTGGTTTTTGTATTGGAAAATACAAAACCATATCAATCCAATATGAAAACGTTAACCCTAATATGTGTATTAAAACTTGATATTTAAAAAAAACTATTATTCTTTAAAGAGATAAATACAAAACAACAGTTGCAACTAAAGTGACATAATTTACCATGCTAAAGCAAAGTACATAAGCAGTGAAATAAAGTGTGATAAAAACGTACTTTAAACACTAATGGATTTTACCTAATTGCATTCTTGTAACGAAATGCTTGAGAGGAAAAGAAACTAAACGAAGGGTCTCAGTTTTATGTCTTAAATATTAAATTGAAAATGTTTCATACAGTTGTTTAAGAAAACTACAATGCATAGAAAAGATAAAAAGAAAATGTTATAAAATAAATAGAAAGTGTAGTCGTTTATGTTCAAGCATATGATTCGCTACAATAGAAGAACCAGTGTGGCAGCCTAATATGGGGGGATAATGGTCCGATAATCACAGAGTCGTTTAAAGTGAATACGTGAATGTTATGAAACAAATTTATATAAAATTTGACAACATTATTATTGAGCTTTTACAAATTTTATAAAAAATCTATAGGACTGTAGCAACTAATTTATTAAAGTAAAATATATAGAGTTTTATCACTATAATAACATAATTATCCGATATGCAATGTCCCATGTACATATATAAATAAGTTTTCATTCGAGATTCTGTTGTTGGCACGATAGCGTCCACAAAAAAAGAGATATTGAAAAGAAATTTTTCCCAAAAGATTTCCTATTAATCAGAAATGTTTGGTATTGAAAATGGGCAAAATCGGTCAACGATTTCATATAGCTCACATACAAATGTAACCCCCGGAATATTGTATAAAGAGCTACAAACATTAACAAATTCGTTGTTTATGAAGCAAATGCCAAATAAGTCAGTTTTTTTACTTCCGAAATAAAATTCCGAATTATGGCAGACATAGGACCATAATTGGCCCTACCCCCCATATAAGGTCCCTTTACAAAATGACTAAAAACTGATTACTGGCTTATAGCGATAAAATTCGACACAGATAAGTTTCATGCGAGCCAATATCTCTCCACTAAATTTTATGTGGATCGGTCCATAATTGACCCTACCCCCCATATAAGGTTTCCTTCAAAAAATGACTTTAACGCTCATTATTGTCGTAAAAATACGAGTATAGCGAAGAAATTTGGCATAACTAAGTATATTAGGAGCCAAAAACTTTCCACCAACATTTCTCTACCAAATTTTATGTGGATCGGTCGAAAATTGACCCTAATCCCATATAAGGTCCCCTGCAGAAAACGCTCATTATTGGCGTAAAAATACGAGTATAGCGAAGAAATTTGACATAACTAAGTATATTAGAAGCCAAAACCTTTCCACTAATTTTAATGTGGATCGGACCATAATTGACTCTACCCCCCCTATACAGTCCCCTCCATAAAATTCCTTTAACGCTCATTACTGGCTTAAAAATAAGAGTATAGCGATAAAATTTCAAAGAAGTAAGATTTGTATGAGCCAAAATCTCTCTACCAAATTGCATGTGGATCGGTCCATTACTGACCCTACCCCCCATATAAGGTCTCCTTCAGAAAAACAATTTAACGCTCATTACTGGCGTAAAAAACGAGTAAGGCGATGAAACTCGATATAAACATGACTTGTATGCACCAAGATCGTTCTACAAAATTTTACGAGGATCGGTCTATAATTGGCCCTCCCCCATATAAGGCCCCTTCAGAAAATGACTTTTAAACTCAGTAATGGCTTAAAAATACTAATGGATCTATGAAATTCTACATAAACTAGTTTTGTATGAGCTTACATCTCTCTACAAAATGTTTTGGGTGTCGGTCCATAATTGTCTCTACCTCCCATTTAAGGTCACCATCACAAAAATACTTTAACGCTCATTACTGGCTTAAAAATGCGAGTACACTGATAAGTTCTATAGGAACCGAAATCTCCCTACCAATTTTTATGGAGATCAGTCCATAATTTTCCCACCCCATATAAATTCCCCCTCCGAAAATGAGTACAACGCTTATTACTGGTTGGAAATTATACATAAATATGATTTGTATAAATATAAATCGTTCTACGAGATTTAAGGATGATCGATTCATAATTGTAAACTTTTAATTTTAATTTATTTAGACTTACTCAAGTTCTATGATAACTACAGAATTTTATAAATGTTAATCTACATGTTCATCTCTATGAAAATTAGTTTATCATTAATAATTTACTTAAATGTTTGGATGAAACGAATTATTCATTATAGAACATTCATACTAACACCACATTCCTTAAACTATTTACTTTTATCAAACTAAATTTTATTATTATAAATACCATAATATAACTAAAGAACTGTCAAATAGGCGGTTATATAAATCAATGTTCAAAGTAAAAGCAATGATAAATATTATGATATCTATTAACCACAATAAAAAATCATTTGTATAAAAAATGTATTTATATATAAATAAATGTATAAATCAACAATATATTTATAAAATGATGTAGAATAATAAATATTTGGCCTTGAAATTTAATAAACAACCAAGAACTCTATAAAACAGCAATTCATGTACAATAATAATACATCATGTCGAAATCATTGTTCAAATACTGCAAACAACAAAAAACTAAAGGAACATTATAAGGAATAAGAATAAAAACATCTTAATGAATGGCATAATAACTAATAAATTCAGTTTATTATACGAATTCCCCGAAAATAAAAAAATAAATATGATACATGGCTCTTTTGTTGAACAAAGGGCTGGACGGATATGATGACGGCATTGCGAAAAATTGGAGAAAATTTTTGAGGTAAAAATTATTGTGAAAACTTTATCAGCATTATGAACATCAATGATGTCTTTTAGCTTACGGTATAATGTTTTTATACCCATCATCAGCACATAGATGGAGGGTATATTGATTTTGTCATTCCGTTTGTAGCACATCGAAATATTGTTCATAGACCCACAAAATTGGGTCTAAGACGATCTAGACATGTCCGTCCGTCTGTTTGTCTGATAATTGGCATAGGATTGACCCTACCCCCACATAAGCTCCCCTTCAGAAAATATGAGTAGAGCGATGAAATTTAAAACAAATAAATTTTATACGAACCGATAATATTCTATAAAATTTTACGACAATCGGTCTACAATTGTCTTTATTGCCCAAATAATTATGTTCACGATTTAAAAATTTAACAGAAATATTTTGTTTTTAAAAATAAATATTTTGTAAATTCAAAATAGCTCTGTCCATATGACTTAAGAACTGATGTTTATAGGGATCATTCCTTTTAGGGCATACGGTTTGATGGTGGGTATATGAGATTCGGCATAGCCGAATATAAAAATCTCACTTATTCTGGTAAAAGACATATTTTTCTATCAATGTTAAACATAATACATCATGTGGCATAAATTTCAAATAAAATTAAATTCTGTGACATGGTCCGCTCATACATACTTAACTGAGGTCCTTTGAAACAAATTTATTGTTCTCGTATGTATTTGGTACATTAATACGCATCGTTTAAGAGGTATTGCTACAAAAATGATATCCATGGTACACCCTAATGTACATACTTATACATGTTAACCACAATTTACAAAATTTTCAAAAATTCTTTATTAGTTAAATTTTCATGGTAATACTTATACAAATATAATATTTACATATATGTACATATAGTGTACATAAGTAGAACGGCCTTAATATTGATAAATACTCATAAATTAGAAAATGTGGTTTTATGTTAATGATGCAATAAATAACCACAAATTTAATTTTAAAATAAATCTGATAATATTTTTTAATTGCTGGTTTTATATGAAAATATATACATAAGTTAATAAATTGAATAAATTATTTATTTATTATTTATTTTAAGTTTGATTTTCGAAAATGACCAAAATATACTTTAAGTTTAACACATGATTAGTTTTACTCCAGCGATTATATCTAAGTAGTACTTATATGGTATTATAAATTTATATTCGAGTGTCCCGACGAACGGACTTTTATTAATTTTTATTTTGTTTATTTATTTCTTCTAAAAAAAAACTTAATTCTTAACTACTAATTAACTCTAATATTGAAGTTTCTCATCTCCAACATAAACAGTGTGGCTACCATGACCAACTTGGTTGACATGAGTACCGTTATTGACATTATGACCTTCTTGGTGACCACTATAACCAACAGTTTTATGATCACCTCCTAAACCACCATGTTGGCCAACATGGTTGCCTTGAGCAGCGTGACTGATTCCAGGATCCCCTTGGTTACCACCTTGATTTCCACTAAATGCACCACAATGTTGGTTTCCATGACCACCACCAAAGCTGTTACCATCACTACCACCATGAGCACCACCCACTTGAGGAACATGACTGCCACTATCATTTCTACCACCATAACCACTCGAAAAAGAACAAGTTAGAGTGCTATATTCGGCTGAGCCGATTCTTAAATACCCTCCACCAGCAACTTTTGTATTAATACATTTATAATTAATAAAATATTTGTAGAAATAAGTTTTCTCATGTCTTAAATAGAAAAATCCCAAGATTTAAACGGCTTAAATCTACTACAATTCCAAGATTTATTGAACATTAGAAACGCCACTTTCATTTAAATTTTTATAGCGCCCTAAGATATGCTTTAGCGATATCTCGTATTTGCATGTATGCATGGTGTGAAAGATTTAAGGATTTTAAAAATACATACATATATATAATTTTGTTCTACACAAATTGATAACGCAAATAGTTAAATACGGTTAAAGCGCTTTTAGGGGCAGGACCTAGTAGGAGAGATATGACCAAATATAGACCGATCGTGAAAAATTTTTGAAATAGCATTAAGTGCTTTTTGCATTACAAAATAGTATTTATGAACAAAAATAGTATTTATTTATATCATTATTTGGTAATGAGTTATGTGCCTTTAAGTGTTTTTCTGAAAGGGACCTTGTATGGGAGCTATGATCAATTATGGATCGATAGGAAAACAATTTCACAGTAATATTTCTCTGTATATGAGCAATATTTCTGCCAAACTTTATATGGATATCTTAATTAAGCAATGAGTTATGCGCGTTTAAGTGATTTTCGGGAGGGGACCTTGTATGGGAGCTATGACCAATTATGGACCGATCGCGTATAAGTGATTTTCGGGAGGGGACCTTGTATGGGAGCTATGACCAATTATGGACCGATCGGAAAAAAATTTCACAGTAATATTTCTATGCATATGGGCAATACTTGTACCAAATTTTATATGGATATCTGAATTTAGTAATGAGTTATGCGCGTTTAAGTGATTTTCGGGAGGGGACCTTGTATGGGAGCTATGATCAATTATGGATCGATAGGAAAACAATTTCACAGTAATATTTCTCTGTATATGAGCAATATTTCTGCCAAACTTTATATGGATATCTTAATTAAGCAATGAGTTATGCGCGTTTAAGTGATTTTCGGGAGGGGACCTTGTATGGGAGCTATGACCAATTATGGACCGATCGCGTTTAAGTGATTTTCGGGAGGGGACCTTGTATGGGAGCTATGACCAATTATGGACCGATCGGAAAAAAATTTCACAGTAATATTTCTATGCATATGGGCAATACTTGTACCAAATTTTATATGGATATCTTAATTTAGTTATGCGTTAAGCGCGTTTAAGTGATTTTCGGGAGGGGACCTTGTATGGGAGCTATGACCAATTATGGACCGATCGGAAAAAAATTTCACAATAATATTTCTATGCATATGGGCAATACTTATACCAAATTTCATTTGGATATCTTAATTTAGTAATGAGTTATGCGCGTTTAAGTGATTTTCGGGAGGGTACCTTGTATGGGAGCTATGACCAATTATGGACCGATCGGAAAACAAATTCACAGTAATATTTCTATGCATATGGATATCTTAATTTAGTACTGAGTTATGCGCGTTTAAGTGATTTTCGGGAGGGGACCTTGTATGGGAGCTATGACCAATTATGGACCGATCGGAAAAAAATTTCACAGTAATATTTCTATGCATATGGGCAATACTTGTACCAAATTTTATATGAATATCTGAATTTAGTAATGAGTTATGCGCGTTTAAGTGATTTTCGGGAGGGGACCTTGTATGGGAGCTATGATCAATTATGGACCGATCGGAAAAAAATTTCACAACAATATTTCTGTACATATGAGTAATATTTGTACCAAATTTTATATGGATATCTTAATTTAGTACTGAGTTATGCGCGTTTAAGTGATTTTCGGGAGGGGACCTTGTATGGGAGCTATGACGAATTATGGACCGATCGGAAAAAACTTTCACAGTAATATTTCTATGCATACGGGCAATACTTATACCAAATTTTATTTGGTATAAGTATTGCGCATAATGCATATGCGCGCATAATGAGTTATGCGCGTTTAAGTGATTTTCGGGAGGGGACCTTGTATGGGAGCTATGTCCAATTATGGACCGATCCATAAAATTTTTCCTCTGAAAGAATTCTATTGACATAGGATTTTAATTTGTAAAATTTTGTGAAGATATCGACATTGTGGCGGAAGTTATTAACAAAAAACCCATTTTCCGGGAATATGTACTTTTGTATGGGAGGTATATGAAATTGTGGACCGATTCAGAAAATTTTCAGCAGGGATCAAGATCTTGTGCAGAAACGAATGTGTGGTGATTTCCATGTTATTATCTTGCATAGTTTTCGAGAAAATTACATCAGAATGTGTAAAAAATGCTTATTTTTTTCCGAGGTTGTTTTAAATTTTGATTCATATCTTTTCCCGGTGTGAACCGATTTTTCCCATTTGCAATACCAAACAACTTAGGAAAATGAAGAACATTTTGGGTGAATTTGGTTAAGCTCTATTGCTTCGTTTTATCGTGAGCGTGTTTTACACAGACAGACGGACAGACGGACAGACGGACATAGCTAAATCGACTCAGAATTTGATAAGGACCCAGAATATATATACTTTGTTGGGTCTCAGATGAATATTTCTTGGTGTTACACACGGAATGACAAAGTTATATATACCCTCTATCACCACTGATGGTGGTGGAGGGTATAAAAAGCAATGCCAATTAAGGCAACAAAACAATCTACAATATAATTTTAAACTTTTATACCCTACACCACCTTAGTGGGGAGGGTATATTGGGTTTGTGCTGATGTTTGTAACGCACAATAATATTGCTCCTATACCCACCTTAAAGTATACCATTTAGGTATGTCCGTCCGTCCCTCCGTCTGTCCGTCCATGTAAACCTTGTAATCAAACGCAATTTTGAAGATAATTCAATGAAATTTGGTACATGATCTTCTATTGTCCTAGGGACGAAGCCTTTTAAAAATGATTACGATCGGTCCATCACCCCTGAATAAGGCTTGTAAACCTTGTAATCAAACTACAGGTCGCAATTTTGAAGTTAATTCAATGAAATTTGGCACACCATCTTCTATGGTACCAGAGACGAAGTCTATTGAAAATGGTGAACATCGGTCCATTATCTCACCTAGCCCCCATACAACTGCACCCCGGAATAGGGCTTGTGAACCTTGTAATCAAACTACAGGTCGCAATTTTAAAGATAATTCAATGAAATTTGGCACACGACCTTTTATGGTACCAGAAACGAAGCCTGTTGAAAATGGTTAACATCGGTCCATTATTTCACCTAGCCCCCATACATCTGAACCGGACTAATAGGGCTTTTAAGTTCATAATTATGTTTAATATACTCGTATCTCGACAAAAAGCTGAAAAACCAAGTTCTTAATTATAGGGTCTCATTTGACCATAGCCCCTATTCAAAGCTATTCTACTTAAATGTCCACAATTTTATTCAACAATAAATGGCTTAAGTATATCTGAGGCAAGGTACAATTCAACTTAAATGCTTTATTATGAAAACTAAATCACAATTTTTTGTAACTGCTACCGGAAACGAAGCCTGTTGGAAATGGGGAACATGGATCCATTCTTTCACCTAGCCCCCATGCAACTGAACCGGACGAATAGGGCTTTTAAGTTAATAATTATGTTTAATATACTCGTATCTCGACAAAAAGCTGCAAAACCAAGTTTTATACTAGCCTTGATGACCCTCATGAATTTTATAATTATAGGGTCTCATTTGCCCATAGCCCCTATTCAAAGCCCCCTTCAAAATTCGACTTAAATGTCCACAATTTTATTCAACAATAAATGGCTTAAGTATATCAGAGGCAAGGTACAATTCAACTTAAATGCTTTATTATCAAAACTAAACACGTTTTTTTTTGTGACTGCTACCGGAGACGAAGCCTGTTGGAAATGGTTAACATCGGTATATTATTTCACCTAGCCCCCATACAACTGAACCGAACGAATAGGGCTTTTAAGTTCATAATTATGTTTAATATACTCGAATCTCGACAAAAAGCTGCAAAACCAAGTTCTAGTATACTAGCCTTGATGACCCTCATGACTTTTTTAATTATAGGGTCTCATTTGACCATACTTGTCTTACTTGTTAAATTTATATATGTATAACGTATTTAATAGTGATACTAGTGCCTGTACTTGAATTCTGGAAGTAATATTATGACGCGATCGTTAAAAGCGAACTAGACTTACTTTGCAGATGATTAAAGAGAGAATAAGGTCAAATTGTAATCTTACTTACTTTCTGAAATAATGGACCGATTTAAACCATTTTCAATAGGTTTGTTTCAAGCTTTAGCTATTTGGGCAATTTCGTGTCAAGTGACCCAACTTTTAAAATCGATGTTTTCCGATCTCGCATCCCACTAAGTAACCAAGAAGTTCTCTAAGCAAATGGTCTTTCTTTTGAGCAAAAAAATACAACAAAAACGTACATTTTGTAAAAATAGGGGAAAATGAACTACCAAATATTGAAAAATAATTTTTTGATAGATATCCTACAATCCCATTATGGGACTATAAAGCCCTTAAAGGAAACTGTAAGCTTTCTTTTAAGAAAAAAGTGCCCATTTTGAAAAAAAATAAAAAAAAATCATTTTTGGAAACAACGAAGAAATATCTATCTGAGCTCCTTTGGACAATTTTTATTAGGACCTATAGGTGAAAAGTTACACTCATTTGAATAAAACTCTGTATGACCAAAATGTCTAACTTCGACCCCCCAGTTTTTGACCGATAGAGCTGAATATTTGTGTCTGGTCTACTATTCCATGGTACTAATACCGTGGTGCAAATTTCATCAAAATCGATTTTTTGAGTTGGTTCATTTGACATGAAATTGTCCATATATGTATTAGTGCATAGGTAATGATTGCATATACTTATGTACATGTCAACTAACATCGTTGGTAAAATTACCTAATAGATGTTTTACACAATATACATCTAGTAGTTGAAATTACG